CTTACTCCATTTGTGTGTATTCTTGGCTCAGGTTTCTCTGGCTTGAGGCGCCCCCAGTAAAGCTGGTCAGAAAGAGGTACTGCAGCCCTTAGTCATTACTAAATGCTCTAAGGAGGATTCACCTGACCAAGATTAAAGAGACATATACTGTATTTTTCAGTGTATAAGACGCCCCTCACTTTTCTAACCCAAAATTAAGAAATCTAAGTAGGGCTTAGGAAGTGGAGGGGAAAGCAGGGATCAAAGCCCTGCAGGATCACGTTGATCCCTGCTTTCCCCTCCATTTGTTTTTGTTCTCTCCTCAGCTTACTTCCGTGTATAAGACGACCCTCAATTTTTAGTGTAACAATTTTAGACAAAAGTATAGTCTTATACATGTAAAATTTGGTCTCTCTCTCTCTCTCTCTCTCTCTCTCTCTCTGTCCTATGATTAACCCCAAATACATGCCTCAGTCATTAATTAAGCCTGTGATTACTTTATAATCACCAAATATCACAACAAACACTAAATGCAAGGTATGTAAGTGAAAAGGGAAAAAAAACCACATAGGTGAAAGGGGGGGAATCACAAGCCGTGACTAACAGACAACTTTTGTCAGTTGGAGGAGCACCTCTTTTTTTTAAGTATTGAACCTATAATCAAGTTTGACGCCTCTTAAACTCCAGATTCTGGTCAGATTATTCAGACCCAAACCATTTTTGATCCATCACCAGCGGAATGGGGGATTCATTCAAGTGGTAGGATTCGCTGTCAAGTCAGGCTTTTGTTGCACCAGTGACTTGACTTGGACTCCATTTGGGGGGGGGGTGTTTTTCAGTGACTCAGACTCAACTCATGACCTTCAGTCCCAAACCATTTTTGTTCCATCACCAGTGGAGCAAAGGGTAGGAATGGGGGACTCATTCGAGTGGTAGGATTCGCTGTCAAGTCAGGCTTTTGTTGCACCAGTGACTTGACTTGGACTCCATTTGGGGGGGGGCCCAAAGACTTGGACCCAGACTTGGACACAAAGATTTGCCAACGTCCCTGACAAAGGGCTCTTCATAACCTAGGAAGACTTGGACCCGAAGACTTGCCAACATCCCTGACAAAGGGCTCTTCATAACCTAGGCCAGCGATGGCGAACCTAGGACATGCGTGCCACAGCGGGCATGCAGAGCCCTCTCTGCGGGCATGAGAGCCATAAGTCATCGAATGGCTACTCCCCCCACCCCCCGGCAGCCAAACGTGAGGAGGCGGCTGCAGCCATGGTGCTGGCACCCCCGACATGTGGTGGGCCAGGATCCAGAGCAGCTGGCTCTGGTGGCGGATCTGGAGTGGGGTCTCGAGGCATCTCTGTGCCCGGGATTCCCCTTTCCGCCTCCACCACCCACCGCCTGCTGGTTTGTTGGGTTTTTTTTTCCAGTTTCAGCACTTGGGCCCAAAACGTTTCGCCGTCGCTGCCCTAGGCCAATGGCTCCCAACCTTGGGCCCCCGGACGTTCTTGGACTAAGACTCCCAGAAGCCTTCACACCACCGCCGCCCGCCGCCCGCTGGTTTGTTGGTTTGTTTTCCAGTTTCGGCACTTGGGCCCAAAATGTTTCGCCGTCGCTGCCCTAGGCCAATGGCTCCCAACCTTGGGCCCCCCGGACGTTCTTGGACTAAGACTCCCAGAAGCCTTCACTGCCCGCTGTGCTGGCAAGGATTTCTGAGACAACACCTGGGGACCCATGTTTTTGAACCCCAGCCTAGGTGGTGTGGGCATGTGTGGATGCAATACAGAGAAGGAAATTCGCTGGCTAAACTTGAAGGGAGAAGGTGCCTTCTGGAAAGGAAGAGAAACGTAGGTAGCATTCTTTCCAAATTCCTCCGGCAGGGTGTTTTGTTACCTGAAACACTGTGAAAATATCAGTGCAAGGGGGGGGGGAAAGAGATGTTTTAGTTACACTCAGAGGAAATGAACCTTAGCAGCAGATAGTTCAAGGGAGGGGGGGGGAATGTTGAAAATAAAAGCAGCCAACAAGCTGGAATTAACAATGGCAGAGAGTAACAATAGGAGCTAATGGAAGCCGTTTGTGGAAGGAATAGCAAATAACCCTACCACAAAGAACACATGGCAAGATCCCAAGGCAGAGTTCCAAGGAATACCAGCTGGGGCATGAACAGCGAGCTCTCAAAGGTGGGGGGGGGGAAGGATGGTTTTAATAGCATCAATGGGATGGCTGGCAACCATTTCCTTCAAGCCCTTTGCAAAAAAAAAATAACAAAAAAACAAAAACAAAAAAAGAGCCGAGCCTGAGTTGCAGGGAGGAAAAATAATAATAATAATAAAAAATAAAACTCAAGGTGTCTGCCTTGCTACCCAGTTCTAACTGATGGCACCAGGCCAAGGTGATTCCTTAAGGAGAAACACAACAGATCTGTATTGACAGGAGAGCTACCGTGCTTTGTTCTTATAAAATACTGTGCCTGAGGGCGAGCAGTTTAATGACTGGTTTGGTGGTTAAACCAGGAAGAGTTTTTCTTTAGGGGACTGATCTTCCACTGGTGTGGCCTGGAAGTCGGGAAGGTCTTGGCCAAAAGGAAGTTTCATCATTGGCAACCTATTCATATGCTGGACACCCATACCAATGGACTAAATATCAGCCACAGTTTTAAAGTCATTACCAAATGTAACAAGCATGTTATTATGCACTGTTATTTTCCTTCACAACTACCCAACCCGTCTTTTCAGAACAAGACTCCAAGGGAAAGCCTGCCATTCTCTACATTAACACATGTTGTTTCTCTGTATCCTCATTTAATTAAGTTGTTATTTACAAGAAAGAACTGAATACCAAACAGAGGTCTTAAATCATTACTGAGTGTGAAATGCAACTGAACACCACTGTCTCTTAGTTGTCCCTAACTACATATTCTAACTATATGTCTGAAGAAGTGGACCACATTCCACGAATGCTTATGTTACATTATAGCAGTCTTTAAAGTGCTGCAATGTCTCCCTCCTCCCCTTTTCGGCTTTTTTTGTGATTTAGACACGCTGTTTACCTTCCCACCGAGATGGTACCTATTTATCTACTCGCATTTGCATGCTTTCGAACCGCTAGGTTGGCGGGAGCTGGGACAGGCGACGGGCGCTCATTCCGTCTTGTGGATTCGAACTTACGACTGCTGGTCTTCTGGCCCTGCAGCGCAGGCTTCTATGCAACTGAACACCACTGTCTCTTAGAGTTTTACCATCTAGTTGTCCCTAACTACATATTCTAACTATATGTCTGAAGAAGTGGACCACATTCCACTAATGCTTATGTTACATTATAGCAGTCTTTAAAGTGCTGCAATGTCTCCCTCCTCCCCTTTTCGGCTTTTTTTGGTTTCCTGTTGAAATATTTGGGAAGAGGAATTGAAAGGGGGAAAAAAAACAAATCAAATTTTTTAAAAAAGTAGGAAGAATCAGAACGGCAAACGTCATGGACTGAAGAACCAGACATAAGGATCAGAGCTTCTAGGTCAGAAGAAGGTTGAAGACAACCCTCAGAGAGACAAGATACAGGGGTCTAATATTTTAAAAAGGCGACAAGAGTGTATTTATTTATTTTGAGTCTGGAGTGGAACAGAGGAAACAACAATAACAATAACAGGAGGGGGAAAGTTGGATATTTGAGGTTTGCTACGGCTCTGACTCTTCTTCGCTGTTTTTAGAGATTCTGTTACAGAAAACACAAACACACTCTTACTTCCCGTTTTTTTGCTTCTTGGTATCCACATTTCTGCCAGCTGAGCTGGGCTCATTGTTTTTCTGTAATTCAGCGTTTGCATCTTAGCAACCCACAAAAAAAAACCACGCTTTTTCCTAAATAAGAAGGCCTCCAAAATGCCATAGTAACACATGCCGTTTTGACCCCGGTGCCTTGCAGAAAATGTTATTTGCGTGTTTGGATCTGTCTCGGCTCTCCCCTGCTCCTTTTTTTCCCCTTTTTCTAGAGACTTTGGGCTTTGCAGATATTAAAGCAAATAAACACTCTGGGTGTTTTTTTTCCCCCCACGCCCCTTGCTCAAGGCAGATTTCCAAAGAATAAATAAATAGAATTTTTTTAAAAAAAAAAAGAGAGAGAGAAAGAGAAGAAAAGAATCAAGGAAAATGAGCGCATGCTGAAACAAGATTAATTTGGGCAATTCTTGACTGACCTCGTTTCCCCCCCTCCCATTTTTTTTCCGTTACAAGAAGGTGATCTAAAGATAGCCTACGTGCTTACATCGTCATCCGGAACAGAAGGTAGAAACAACTGGGTTCATCGCTTAGCAGTCAAAACAAACCCTGAGATGAGCCCAATGCCATGTACAGTTTTAAAGCTTCTGGCTGGATGGCTGGACTTGCCCAGAAGGAGATGGGAGACCTGGCCACCATCTAAACTGCAGAGTGTGGTCCTGCCGTGTGGAGGGTCTGCCCCACAGAATCCCTCCCCTTTTGCTGAATAGACATAACAAGGAAGATCTGAGTTGGGATTCGGCTGCTTCAGAGTTTTTGGATTTTTTTTTATTTCTCAAGCTGCACAGGAGTGCAGGGACTCACAAGGCAGAACAGCTTCAAGTTCCTCAGATTAGTTCCCCCCCCTTTTTTTTCTTTCTCTCTCATCAACTGGCACTTAAGAGACTCAGCAACTCACGCTTGAGACATGAATAGCAGATTAGTCCCCCCCCTTTTTTCTCTCTCTCTCATCAACTGGCACTTAAGAGTCTCAGCAACTCACGCTTGAGACATGAATAGTAGAAAGGAGGAAAAGTTTCAATACTTACAACTGAACAGATCAAACAACAAACTGGCAAACATGACTTCTTTCAGCAAACAGCGTTCAGCAGACTCATTGCTTCCAACAGAGGGGGGGAAGCCGAGAGGCGTGGCTTGAGAGAGGAGGGAACCATTGGTTAGTGCTAGGGAGATTGACAGTCATCGCAGCTGAGAGATAGTAGAAAGGAGGAAAAGTTTCAATACTTACAACTGAACAGATCAAACAACAAACTGGCAAACATGACTTCTTTCAGCAAACAGCGTTCAGCAGACTCATTGCTTCCAACAGAGGGGGGGAAGCCGAGAGGCGTGGCTTGAGAGAGGAGGGAACCATTGGTTAGTGCTAGGGAGATTGACAGTCATCGCAGCTGAGAGAAGTCCCACCAAAAGCTGAGAGGCGTGGCTTTCTTTGAAATCAGAGAGAGGAGGGAACCATTGGTTAGTGCTGGGGAGATTGACAGTCATCGCAGCTGAGAGAAGTCCCGCCCAGCCATACCTTCTCCAGGCAGCATACAAGGTTGCAAAAACTCTAGAGCAAAGAGCTGATCCAAGAGGCAAATGCAGTTTTTTTTCTCACCCTTCATTTGAAAAGTGCCATTTCATGGGTCACTGTACTTACAAAGAGGATGCAATTTGCATTCCCCCTCCAAAAAAATAGAGGACAAAATGGGGCAGAGATTTCTATGATATGCATACATGTACAAAACGACATCCCATGATTTACAGACCTTCTTTCTATCATTTGAATAGTATGGTTCTCTTCGAAGATACACTGGCCAGTTTGAGCAGCTGCTTCTACCTCCATGAGAGTCAGCTGCTAAGGTAACAGTGAGAAGGAAGAGGAGGAGATGATAGGATTGTTGTTTAGTCGTTTAGTCATGTCTGACTCTTCGTGACCCCATGGACCAGAGCCATCCTGTCTTCCACTGCCTCCCGGAGTTGGGTCAAATTCATGTTGGTGGCTTCGATGACCCTGTCCAGCCATCTCATCCTCTGTTGTCCCCTTCTCCTCTTGCCTTCACACTTTCCCAGCATCTGGGTCTTTTCCAGCGAGTCTTCTTGATAGGATAGCACTTCTCAAAGACTTGAAAGGCGGTCATATAGAGGAGGGGCAGGATCTATTCTTGATCATCCCAGAGTGCAGGTCATGTAATAATGGACTCAAGCTACAGGAAGCCAGACTGAGGCTAAATATCTGGAAAAACGTCCTTGACTGTTGGAGCAGTACAGCAATAGAACCCATTATCTGGAGAGGTGGCAAGTGCTCCAACGCTAGAGGCCTTCAAGAGAAAACTAGACCATCCCTCTGTCAGATCTGCTTGGATTTAGATCCCTGCCTTGAGCAGGGGGTTGGACTCGATGGCCTTATTTGCCCCCTTCCAACTCTATCATTCTAGGACTCTAGGATTCTATATCGTTGTGTGAACAAAATGTGGAAAATGAAGTAAAGGTGGGCCATGCTAGGGAGGGAATAAGAGACATCTGTATCAGGTCTCTCCTACTGGGGAGCAGCATAATCTACCGCTCTTAAGTCTTCAGTGGACCAAGGAGGCCACCTCATACTGTCTAATGGTAGGGCCGCCCTTGACCACCGTCTTTAAGGCCAGGTGCTTACACAAGATTACATCCAGTGAACTCGGGGCCCCGTGTCTCACTCACTGGTTGCATAAAAGGATTTCTAGATTGTCGCTATAGGAATAATAGTGATTTGTGAGTTTAAAACCCGGCTTAAGGCGCCCAGCGCGCCAAGGTGTCCCGAGACTTAGCACAGATCATCTCACCGCCTCGTTTTATCCCCAGTAAGAAATATTTACTACCCGTTCTAAAAAGGGGCCTTTAACATTATCCCTTTTAAAATAAAGTTTCATCGTGGGCTAAAAACCATTTCTACACACCATTTATTCAGCGTTTACGACAAAAAGAAGGACAGGCTGTAGGGAAAGACAGCAGGATCTATACCCAGCAATTATAAGTGCCGTACAGTCTAATGTGCTAATTAGTCTCCTGAAATTAATTCTGCAAGTTCATAGTGTGATAAAAGGGAGAAATAAACCCTAACGCTGCTGCTTAAGAGGTAGTGGTGGTTCGACCGGCCCATTAATCTGTTTAAGGACTCTGCTGGCTTCTGTAACGGGAGAAGCTTGAATGGGGAGTGAACAGAGGGAGCGAAGGGGAGAAACGTTGGCGATATTTGTGGAACTGCAGCACCAATGCGGAATGTCTGCTCAAGTGACTGACAGGGCTGCCAGCTGGGGCTTTACGCTCGGCTCAATTATTTTATATTGTACCTTCAGGCTTCCTTCCAAAGTGACTCTTAAAGGATAATCAGACACTCTCAATAGGCAATCAAACTGAAATTAGAACAAGGGAAGAGACTTGGTTTCAGCCGGGGGAAGAGCGGAAGGCCAGGCTGCTTTTTTTGATCCGTCCTTGGAAGAGCGCACCTAAGCGGCCAGGAGAAATTGGGCTTCCCCTTCCACAACCCCTTGGGGTTCCCTTACATGAAGGCTGTGTGATCTTAGGCTAGTCCTTTAAACGGTGTGGGATGGAGGGGAGGGGGGTGTTCAGTTTATGTTGCTCTAGCCAAAGGGGTAACCTTAGAAGGTCACCCATGCCGTTCCAAGCTCAGTGGCATCACAGAGCAGAATGCTTAGCCTTCAGAATAGGGTGGGCTTGGTCGGTCCCCTGTTGTATATGGGAAATGGTGACCCCTCTGGAATAAGATATCCTGAAATATTTGATAATCACTTATTCCTGTGCAGAAACAGGCAGGAAGGGCAGCTGCACATTGAGAAAGAGCTGAGTCGCAAAACTTTTCAACCTAAGAAGTCCAGTTACCATGATTCAGCTTCTCGATAACCTCACCTAGAGGACGGGGAATCATCCCAGATCTATTGGGAAGGCGACAGGACAAAGCGGCTTCAAAGATGCTGTGTTGGCGCCACTGTTCCTTTCTTACGACCATCTACCCAGCTGAGAGGGATCCCTGGGGACTGTGCTGCTTGCCCAAGGCCACCCCAGGGTGGCTCTTCAACCAGGAGGCCTCCATGGGGGAATCGAACCCCCAACCTCTGGCTCCATAGTCTACTCTGCTATCCAGCCAGCTCACCTCACAAGAAAACCATGAGGAGGAGAGAACACTTTCTGGAAACCAATAATAATGAGAAAAATGGAAGGCAGCAGGAGAAGAGGAAGACTGAACGTAAGATGGATCGACTCACTAAAGGAAGCCACAGTCTGGAAGGGGTGAGATGTGAGCCAGGCTGTTACGGGCAGGACCTTTTGAAGCTCACTGCTGGAAGACAGAAGGGGCTTGATGGCGCATAATGTTTCTCTCTGGAAGGATTAGTTAAGGGAATTTGGGGGGGGTGATAGTGGGCTTGAGAGCATTCAGGATGAATACTTAAAAAAAAGAAAGAGGTGGACCCCCAACTCCCAAAATATGATCATGATCACACACCCTCTCTCTCACACACACACACGCCCCTTGTGAACCTGGAGTGTCTCGTTCATCGGAGCGTTTCGCTCTGGCAGTTTGCGCTGCAGCTTTTTCGGCAGGAATGTAAACAGCCCTATTTGCAATGTCTATGTTATGTCTCCAGCTTTGTATAATTTCCTAAACACCGTGGCTGCCAAGAGCACTAAGTGTGAAGCTATTGAAGAGAGAGGCGCGCTCAGAGCAGAGCATCTGAGGCGGCTCTTCCAGAGGGTGTCAGCTCCGAAATCTGCTGGGGAGGGAGGGAGGGCGGGTGCCAACAACTCAAGGTGGAGATGGCAGAACTGCCTTCCTCCTAGGTTGAATTTGGTACCCTGTTTTAAGCCAGGCTGCAGAATTTATTTTGAGAAAAGTGTCCGTTTCATTCTGGCCAGTTCAAAAATAAAAAATAAAAAATATATATATAAAAAGTGTGTTACTGCTTTCTATAACTTACAGGGTGGGTCAATTTAGGTGTTAAGAGCTACCTGCACTTCCTCCAATCAGTGTGTTTTCTCTCCTGTGATGGGATTTCCCCAGAGATGCATGCTTTCTGCATCAGGTTTTGAGTAAATTAACCCCCTATTTTCCTTCCAGTGAACACTGTCAAAACCATGCACGTTAAATCCAAGATCTGTAGCTGGCGGAAATTGTGACAACAATACCCCTTCTACCATTTGAAGGAGCATCGCTTCCAAAAACATGGTGTGTGTGTTGTCTAGTCTGATCTTGTGTGACAGGTTACTAAAACAGGGTTTTCCTGTACTTCTGCTTAGACACAGAATCATACCAATCTAGGAAAAAAATGGCCTTCCAAGCTATTTACTATCTCTCTATGTGGAACAGAAGGTAGGGAGATGAATCCTTCATGCTGGCCTCTATGCCAGTCTCTCCATTAGCTCTACCCCAGTCATCTTGTAGAGGTCCCTCCTGTCTGAAGGAGCCTAGACGTAGTCAGTTGTTCCTAGAAAAAACCAACATTTCTCTGGACTGTTATTGTTGTTATGTGTTGTCAAGTTGCCCTTCACTTACAGCAACCCCATGAATGAGCGCTCTCCAACATGTCCTGTCCTCAACAGCTCTTGTAAACTCAAGCCTGTGGCTTCCTTTAGGGAGAGTCATCTTGTAGAGGTCCCTCCTGTCTGAAGAGGAGCCTAGGTAGTCAGTTGTGTTCCTAGAAAAAACCAACATTTCTCTGGACTGTTATTGTTGTTATGTGTCGTCAAGTTGCCCTTCACTTACAGCAACCCCATGAATGAGCGCTCTCCAACATGTCCTGTCCTCAACAGCTCTTGTAAACTCAAGCCTGTGGCTTCCTTTAGGGAGCCAAGCCATCTCGTGTTGGGTTTTCCTCTTTTCCTGCTGCCTTCCACTTTTCCCAACCTTATTGTCTTTTCCAGAGAATCCTGCCTTCTCATGAGTTCCCAAAACTAGGACCACCTCAGTTTCAATATTTTTGCCTCCAGAGATACTTCAGGCTTGACTGGTTTGTCTTTCTAACATTCCGGGGAATCTGCAAAGCTGTCCCCCCAGCCCCAGATTTCAAACGATGACTATGATTCCCGAAATCACGTAGCCATCATGGCTAGCAGCTGGGAGATTTTTGAGGACTGTAGCCCTGGAAGGAGTAACATTTCTGATTTCTGCAGCTGATTTATATGTGTATTCGCTTCCGACAACATCTGCTTGATGTATGAAATATGGGGTTGAAGCCAGACCAAAGTGGGGCCCAATATGTGGGACTCCGTTCATTATTTAATACAGAAGAATAACTTCTGACTTTGATTTCACTGAGCCATCTTAAGGAAGCGGCAGTGTGTTCTCTATCTGTGGAAGCT